TACACTCTAAGAATTTACTTTCCAGAGCTCCAGCATTCCCTGGTAGTTGAATGAAGCAAGCTGTTGAAAAGCCTTTTCTGGATAACTTTAAAAAATAGGATTGCTCAATATATGCGTCCACTTGAGCCTAAGCAACCTATCATAAGGCTCCAGGAACCTATCATAAAGAAATAATAAGCAGTATTGTCAAGGAATTATGTATATGGATATTTATTTCAGAATTATTTATAATGTAAGTACAAATAAAGTAAAATCATAATAATACGAGTAAGAGCCAAGGTTTGTTGCATGCTTATCATGTGCCAGGCACTGCGCTGAGAGCTTCCCGTGTATCAGCTTAACGTTCATAACAGTGTCCTGTTAATATTATATTGATTATAAGTATTGTTCTCACTTCCCAGATGATTAATTTGAATTATCAGAGATTATTTAACTTGCCCATGTTTCCACTGCAGAGCCAGAATTTCACCCTCAGTCATTTTTTACACAAAATCACTACTTTTCACACACAGAGTTTTTTTTACATCAGACTTCTTTATTCTTTTTGATCCTAGCCACCTTAATGAAACCTCACGGACCAGGAAAATATTTATATAAAATATAAATTCATTTAAAAAATATATTTTTTATTGGGGAACAGCCACGGTCATTGGTTACACATTGCTCCCATGCTACAATGGCATAGTTGACTCTCCTAGGGAGGACACAGCTCATAGTGGCCCATGTGGGGATCGGACCAGCAACCTTGGTATTATCAGCACCACACTCCAGCCAACTGAGCCAACCAGTCACCCCTGCACCAGGCATATTACCCAATAATACTATTGGGTAAACCAGCACAACTCTGAAAAGCCAAAGCCTCCTGTTCAGAAGCACCAAGCTGGGGGTAATGCCATGATAAGATCCATGAGTGGGCTGTCCTGCAGAGGCAGGCTTGAAGGTGTGCCTGTGTGGGGTGACTGGTTTGTTGCATAATCTGGACTTGGACATGAGATTGCTGTATTTTTTTCCCCGTCACTGCGTGTAACCACGCTCTGCCTAATTTTCCTTTCCAACCCATAATGGCATGTCAGACAGAGCCCATGCCTTTCCAGTCTTTGGGGAATAAAAAGACCAGTTCAGGCCAATTCTAAAGCCCATCTCTCATCTCTTCTCACCTCCACCCCCACCCTGGCTCAAGCATGACCTACGGCTCAGGACACTGGCATTTGTATGTGCGTGCATGCATGCGGGCGTGCATGCATGTGTGCGTGCGTGCGTGTTTATGCACAAGGGTGGAAATCTGCTCCTCCACATTTCCTACCTGTCCTCCTTCTGGTTTAAGCTCCTCTGGAGTTGAGGAGGAAGGAAGGTCTAAGGAAATGGACAAAGTGCTTTTCTTCACTGGGTGCATGTGGAATGGCGTTTTCTCCCTGTGTTCAGTTTAGACTATTGGTATCGATTCCTTTACACTGGTGATATGAGTCCTAGGTGTAAGAACACTGAACAGCAGAGAATTAAGCCTCTTGGATTGAAC